ACTCACTCTAAGTTCCAACTTTTGTTTGATGGTACCATCACTCACAAAAACAATATAGTTGCCAACAATTTGGTTTACCAATCATCGACTGTTATTAATCTGAAGAATAAAACGTTGCACCCAAGTAGCATTTTTATCTCACGCTTGCTTGCTATTTTATTCGTTGCAAATGTTTTGAACTCATGCAAAATCTGACCTTCCAAGTGACTCAAACGAATCCAAACTGAAGATTATTTTCAAAAACTATATATGACAATTGAATGCATTTTTATGTCACCCGTATAATAATCATTATGAATTAGTTAGTAACATTGAAACCCGAAACAATTGTAAAGAAAATGGGATTCACCCTTGTTTACAAAGACGGAAAATCTTGTTATTTGTACTCATGAAAAGTATTATTGAATTTTCACTCAAAAGGACTACGGCTTCAGCACCCCGGCCTCGAATTAACTGAATAAAATTTCATTTAGTTGTATTCGCCCAACAAAAGTCATGAGCATTTTGTAAAACAGAATAACATTTTGGAACTCAGATAACTCCTCATGACATAAATGAAAAGAACCATGTACTAAAGGAAAATGTGTACTGACAGAGCTATTTTAAACCAGCTGGCTCATTATAACTTCTATCGTTTGTTGTTGCCAAATACACATTTCAGTATAACAACGGAATCACTATAATTGGTACCGTAAAAAGTGGTGAGGCCAGAAATAATGCAGTGAGATGGGGATGCCTAGGTGAAATACGAGTTAGTACTAGTGGGTTTCCGCACGGACTGTACGGAGTTTATTAAGAGCCATGGTTATTACGGAATCAGGTGGGCAGCCGTCGTAATTCAAGAGCTCAAACAAGTTATTCCAACTTGACCAAAAGGGACTTTCAGCTGAGTCTGAAGAGCTCAGATAGATTCAAGACATTTCTGTTGCAATACACAAGTTGACATTCTAAACCAGATGAAAAGAAATAGAGACGTACCAGGAGAGAGCTGACATCATGTATGACTTCATCTCATGTGATTCTTAGTCGTTTTGTGTGGCATCTTTTGAATATTTTTTTGAGAATGAACTACATTGAGATTCACAAAAAGCTGCTCACCACTATCAGTCACTGTTTTGGATTTTCCATAGAATTGAAGATGGTGTGTTCTTTTTTATCCATGTTTCTCTGAATAATCGCTCCTGATTGACCGTTCTGAAGACAAGTAGAGCGCTTTGACTGCATGACACCGGGTTATTGTTACCTTTTTTCAATGCAACAAAAACTTCATTATCAGCGATTGACCCAATCATACAGTGCCAATCACGAAGATAATAAATACTTTAGTTCTCCGTCTAATTGGAAGTAAATCATGAAGATAGAATTACTAAACTACACTTTTTGTTAACCGAGTTTATTCCAAGTTAAAGCTTTTTTTATTCAACACACTTGTGTGATGAACAACAAACGGGAAAACCTTATATTCACGAGCATCTGTAGTTCAATCAGGGAAACCCGCAACCTTCGACCTGGGACTTGGAGTAAGGAACCGCATAAAGCCCCCCTCCATTTTTGGTGTTGTACTGTGCCGAACGACAGCAAAGCTGCCTGTCACCAAATTTGATTGTTGATAGCAGGGTTCGAACTTCGGACTTCAAGGTCCAAAGCATGCAATTGAAAGTGACTTAATACGCCACTCAAAGAGCTAAAAGGGTGTCAGAATTATTGATGTATTTTTTGATAGAAAAAAAATGTTACACAAAATAACTTTAAACATTTACAATTTATTCGATTAATGAACATCGTCTGAGGATATATTGTTCAATAAATCAAGTTGCATAACACCTTATAAAAACTGTTATTAGACGCTGGTTGAAAATGGGTCGATCAGCGCCACACAGAGATGCATTCTAAAGAGTATCTTTTCAATATGAAATCCCAAGACAACATAAGAGTCTTACCAACATTTACAATTATGTAACCATACCTATGCCCCAAATCAGGTAAACCACAAGGTGTTATTCTATCACCGTTTTTTATCTATTCATTAACGAGCTACGTGTTGACTGTCCTGCCCATATTTTCAACTATGTGGATGGCGCCTTTTTGTGTCAGAAAGTTGAACATGACCCGATTATGTGAATTTCTCTCCCAGTCCTACGACCAGTCTTACAACCTTTCCGTAACCGATTTCCTAATCTTAAAGTTTTAATATGTTCTGGACCCGTCTTCCTTTTTTCGCGTCCCCAATCATACTCATTGTATTTCATGCCAATGCCCCGCCCAAGTTAAATTCATTTAAATGTCTCCCAAAGATATAACAACTCTAATAGTCCTTCCACATGGAAATATTTTGAAATAATTCGTACCGTCCGTGCTTTCACATTGAGGAACCCAAAATTTTTGTGCTCGACAGTTCATCTTTTTCACTTTTGCCCAACAGTGTGTTATTTCCATGAAATTGTATTATTCTCCTTCTATTTTTCTGGTCTACGCAAAGAAAACTTCATGTCTTTCAATAATAATCCACACAACCGGCTTATTTCCTCCAATGAACTACTGGGAGATTTACATGACGCACACAGTCTTTGGAGATCTTTGACTGTCTTCTCACTCGCACCATAACTCTAAATTCGGATTACTTCCTTGAAGTATTAGTTTGAGAGAGAATTCTCCATTTCTTACATTACGACTAGATGAAGACATCCAATTAGTTGCCTACCATCCGCGGTGACACTGAACCTTTTCTCTTATTTGACATTCAGTATTAAGACAACCGTGGATAGACTATTTTACCGACCTCTACTTAATACCCCACGGAGCACCCAGTACAGATTTATCATCGCTTGTGGGATCCTGGATAACTGCAACTCATTCATATCACCACCTGTCTCATTCATCAAACTGTAGATGATCGCACAGATGTAACCAGTATGTGAAAAGATGCGACGGGTTGAGCAATGATTTAATAAAGATAAAAACCTATGCGATGACACTGAGTAGCGAAGGAGAAGCCGCAGGTAACAGATATTTGCCATTGGTATTGTGGATTGAACGTGTTAATCAGCCAGGATATGACAGAAAAATATGATTTTGTTAGATAGGGAATAGGTTCGAATTCAACCTTATTATTCAGATGAAATACTGTTAATTCTTTCAGCATTGTTAGGTATCTTGTCAAGTGTGCATTTCAATGTCAGAAATACGTAAGCAATCGCATTTGATTCAAAGGAATCGGTTTTATTCGGGAGAATCTCAGCCTCAATGGAATTTACTCATCGGGTTGTTGAGGGCTTAGACTAACTCCACTCATGCAATGAATTAATCATACTCACATTCACGTCTGGGCATGGTGACCGACTTATCGATCCGTCTTGACGTGATTCGCTTCCTTACCCGACCGACAGAGGTCAATAACTCCGCGTCCGTTCATTCGTACCTATNGGGGGGGGGGGGGGTGGCGGAGCGGGGGGAGAACGACCCACCTGGACCCAAACCCCTGAAACATTCAACCTCGCTCGGTAACTCACTAAAAAAGTACTTTTGTTTGTTTACGGGGCAGTAAGTTCATTCGGACTGGACGGGGTGTAGACAGACCCGGTTCAACGGGTGACATTTGACGGCCGTAACACCAATAATCTTGTGGGGTTTCCATGGGGTGCGATTGGTTGGATTCACTTAAAGTTGTCTCAGGGTGTGAATCCATGCTACATCTAACATTCCCAGTTTAATCATTTCACAATTCGCTTCTTTGTGAACTGCCATCACGTTGTCAGTGGAGGCACTTTTTGACTGTAATGCCAGTTTATGGATGGAATTTTATGGGCTTGAAAACGCTTCTGCAAACAGACATGCAAAACAGTAATGATGAAGATGATATTTTGACCTATCTTGAAGTAGTTTTCAAGTTGACATTGCATGAACTTGAAAAAGCCATTTAAACACCACGCCATTACTAGGTGTTTTTATTCTATTATCATCGAAAATTTTATCGTAACACTGCTAATTGAATGGAATTTTTCTTGGAGAATTAACTCATTTCGTAATAACAAGCTGACCAAACGCAGCGACTACTCAGGAAAAGCGATTGCTTCGGTCGACCAGTAAATCCACATGGCCAATTTTAGACTTCCTAAACGTAAACGAAATCTCATTTGATTCTTTAATTCATGTGTCATAACAATTTTTTATCTGATCAAATGGAGTGGGCTTTGGAATTTGCATAACATGTGTTTTGAATAACTGCTATTCAACCCTGTTCCTTTAAAAGAATCCGTCCTGTGGACAAAAAAGACTAACAAACGAAGCTTTCACAAGTTAATCTCAATGAGAGGGAAGCTATCTTGCCACAGCGGAAGAGGTAGAAATACGTCCGCACAATACTCTTCTGGGTGCCCGAAAACAATTCGTGCAGGCGCTTAGCCTTTCCTACTCTCTCTTACCCCCCTGTCCCCATTTCCCGAGTAGTCCCAAAGATCGGATGACCCAACAACTATCTGATCATTGAGAATCCCATATCCGGTTAGAAGATAAAATTAGCCCCCAAATAACCTATGATGTTAGTTTTCCCTTTCCCAAAACAATTGATTGATTTTATTATTGAATACTGATACATATATAAACAACGCAAAATTTATTGTGATATAGTGCAGTGACTAGGACTCACTGAAAATGAGTTTATCACTCTTTTTTCTGTCTAAAACACTTCAAATGCGAATTTATTTATTAAATTCATTATAAAAGTATAGAAAAAGATGGAGTTCACAATGTTAACATTAAACGAATAGATAGAGCTGTCACCACGGTAAATGTCACAGAGTAAATCGTGGAGTTATCAGCTGCATCTTGAAAAATAAAAGTGATGATCTAAGAGGAAAAGAAAGAATCAGAAATTTTCAACAATTGCCATCGTAAGAATAAACAAATAGAAGAGAGAGAATGATACCTGGAACAGTATTGACGACGACAGGTTGGAAACAGGTGTGCGATTGTCAAGATGGAGACAAAAATCACGAGAGAAATTACGAAGTTTGCTGGAAAATCAATGTATCATTGAGTCCATTTTCTTGCTTTTTCAAAGGAAAGGCCATTTCTTCCGGTTTAACTAAAAGATCAAATTCCTCGGGATTAATTAGCTTTGACTGAACAGCAGCCTCGCGCAAAGATAATTTGTTTTGTCGAGCATAGTTTGCTATTTTGGCTGCATTATCATATCCGATTTGAGGGGCTAATGCAGTAACCAGCATTAGAGAATGTTGTACATTCCGTTGCAGTTGATCTTGATTGACCTTTAGTCCTCGAACACAGTTTTCCGTGAAACTTTGGGCTGAATCAGCAATCAGTTGGCAAGAATGCAGCATGTTAAGCGCAATCAGAGGCTTGTAGACGTTCAGCTGCAGTTGACCTTGGGAAGCAGCCATCGTTACTGTGAAGTGATTCCCCATCAGCTGGATGCCAACCATATTCATGGACTCACACTGAGTTGGATTGATCTTGCCTTCATCAATGAGAGAACAGTGAACAAAGATTAAATTTATTCGTTCAAATAAACAAAGTAGTTCAACTGTTATGCACTTCCAACGAATCTCCCAGAAAACCTAGGATCACTCGGTTGGTTTGTATCAGTAAATACAACATTCTATCGCATATTAAAAAGATATGAAACACTCCAGCATCCGGTGGGCTAGCGAACAACCGTTTTCAGACATCCCTGGTCATGCTCTTACAGATCATATCGTGAGGAAATGTTTACATACTGATAGCCGTTAGCTCAATTTGATGTTATTAAATTAAATTTATTTACGCTCAACGTTTAAAGCAAACATTTTGATGTTCATCAGTAAATTTTGCTATAAAATTCCTACATTACCGGCAACTGTTGTTGTTTTACTGGCTTTTCAGCTTTTCAGTTCATTTGCTTTTTAAACGGTGAAATCCAGCTTAAAATGTAAAAGTGTTTAATTCTATGTTCTGGTTCTAAATTCGGCTCTGCCTTCTTTTTTTGAGTTATGACACAACTAGCGTGGCAGGAAGAATTGAAATATGAGAAGCAAAAATCTCACTATTTTTACACGTAGAATAAAAACTGTACGCAGTATTTCTCTTTCAAAGAAGCAGAACCGGTTCATTGACGAAACTATGAAGGATTAGATTGGTTTTCTGCCCTTTTTCACTGCAAGGAGACCGTCTTATTCAAGTTTATTTACAAATCGAACAAACGCCATAACATGCCCCCACCGAATTGACCCATTTGGGTTGAACCAATAATCTTGAAATTCGTGATCAACCACAACCACAACAACAACAACAGACAGCAGACAACATCATAATAGGTGACGTACAAGAGAAACCATCAACTTGATTATATATATATATATATTATGTATATATGAATATGCCTTAGATGAAACTTACGCAATTATGTAATGACTGTTGAGCATAGTTGGATTACCTTTAAGCGATTTTTTATTTATGATACTTCATTTTTACTTCCGATAATCTATTTTTTTAGGATAATATAAGATCATTATTGCTCACGGCAATTTGCCACCGATGTCATCCAATGGGCAGTCTAAAACGGTACCTGGCATGATGCTGGAACCGGGTTCATTCGGAGGCAGTTCCAATTCACCTAACCCACAGTTCGGTCCGGAACTAAGAAGGGCGAAATCAGATGCCAGTTTGAGAAGAACAGTGGCCACGCAGTTAAAGCTGCCACTCAGTTGCAGAAGAGCATCGTGACTGGAGAGAGCGGCAAACTTGTTTTCGGCAGGATGAAAGTTCAGCTGAACCGGCATGTGGTTTGAACCAGCCTATAATTCAGTAAAAGGACGATTTGACCAGAAATATAATTCGTATTTGTCTCGGTGGGAATAGTCTGGTATGAAAAAAATGGAAGTTAATTTCTCGGTAAAAAGACATATTAGGAATATTCCACAAAACTACTCTTGGGAGTAAGTGTTACTATTACATTCCTCATGAGATCACTTTGTATTTTAGCAGGTACAAATGGAACGAAAGCTCAAATAACTTTTCGCATCACCTAAGGACAGTCAGATATGGAGAACTGAGAGAAGAGAGAGAGAACCAAGAAGCGAAAGCAAGAAATAGACAAGAACAAGACCAGTGTAAGCGCGAGCAACGGACCAGTAGGGATGAAATAGGAAAATAAGTTAACTTTAGCTTACAATGGTAACAGCAGTGATATATTGGAAAGATTCGACAGAACGGGGGAATGTTGAATGACATCTCAACTGATTATTGGTGAGTTCACCAACTAGCATTGGTCTTGAATATGCTCTTGTGCTTTGGTTTTTATATCCCTAAAAACTGCCAATAGATTGTTACGTTGTTATCATCAACTTGCTCTGCAGTTTGTTCAGAAGTGCAATAGTGACGTGCGGTTAATCAACGTACAGATATCTACATCGGTTTAAACTGATTTTTGATTTTATCCATTTGATATTACACAACCACTCTCAACTCTCTTTTTCCACGGTTAATCGTTTTCCATTACGTAACCGTTTTTATGCTATCATTCTCTTTTTTCTGAATTTGTGTAAGCATTATCCCCGCCTCCCGCTCATTCATCTCTAAATATATCAAAGGAAATGTTTTGATATCATAAAGGGATTGAGAGTAGAAAGGTCAAATGAAATAAAAGTATAGAGATGGACTGATTAAAATGTTAATAAACGTTGTGAGCTAAGAATCTAGCAATGACCAACGCTAGCTTTATGACTTTCACACGCTCCGCTTGGTCGTCCTGTTATCGTTATACAGTGAGTTGTAATCAGTCAATAAGATATCGAATATAACAAGACTAATTCAATGGCAAAGTAGTTTTAAATAAGCGTGCTGGAATATTGAATGAAAGGCCTAGTTATCAGTAATCCCGAGTTTTAGATGCATACTCAGTGATAAAAGTTAAAAAATGAAACCAGTATAGTAAAATTGCACAACTAGTGTTCTGGACAACTTCACTGCATTTGATAACCCTTGGTATTGCATTTGGGTTCAAAGAGACTATAATTTTTTCCATATGATGTTTTGATATCGTATACCGAGCTCGACCAAGTCCCTTACTACTAACGAAACAAATATGGATACATTTATCTAATCCAACTTAGGCTTTATATAGCCAGGGACGAAAACGATGAGAACTCTTCAACTTTAGTTTAATTAGACCTGGTAAACGATATTTGACTAATTGATTTTGAGAATTTTGGAGTAAACCAAATAAATTGTTTCACATACAATGTTCACGAGCTTTTGTGCTAAAATGCTTTATGAAATTTGAATTAATGCGAATGGGATCTTAATACTTTATTGTATTTGCCACTAGTACATAAAAATGCTGTGTTTAAGTAATTATTTGATTATAATTATTCCTAAATGAAGACTCACTAGTCGCAATTTTACGTACAAAAAGCTAAACAAGTATAAAAAATAAAGCATTTGTAAAAATGATAGTCATCGGTATTTTGGTATGTTTAATGCAGATAACCCTTATATGGTAAATAGAGGACACCAAGTAAAGGAAAATAAATGAACGAGAGAAGCTGTGAAACGGTCTGTAAAATACCTTTGAATTTTTTTCTTTGATCATACTGTTGATTTGTTCGCAGAGAGCAACATCAAATCCAGGAGTGCAATTGATCCCCGTTCCGACGGCAGTTCCACCAACAGCCAGCTTACAAACGGCATCCACATGATTTTTGATGGAGGAAATACAGAAATCCAGTTGAGAGACAAAAGCACTCAGCTCCTGACCTACAGTCATTGGAACAGCATCCTATGGGGATCACATAAGAGCAGGTATGTGACTAACCTGTAAATGTGTCCGACCAACTTTTATTATGTTCATGAAAGAAACGGCTTTTTCATGAAGGGCATCGCGCAATCGTTGTAAGCTTGGAATAACTTTATTTACTGTCTCCAGTGCTATGCAAATGTTCATCGCAGTCGGGAATATGTCATTTGTACTCTTAATTTACAAAGACTGTCGTTTACAAAGTAGATTGCCATACCTGGCTGCGGTTTACATCGTCGTTAGGATGCACTTGACCGGTTCCCATAATTTTCGACCCGGAAATTATTTCCGTGGCTCTGCAAGCAATAACTTCATTGACATTCATATTTGTTTGCGTGCCAGAGCCTGACTGGTAAACACTTAGTGGAAACTGGTCTTCGAATTTGTGCTCGCAAATCTCCTGACATGCTTGAACAATAGCAGTGTATTTATGGGGGTCAATCAATCCCCGCCGGTAATTCAGTACGGCCGCAGCTTCTTTGATGAGGGCAAGTGTGTGAATTAGAGCAAGCTATCAAAATATAGTTACATGGATAAATAAGACATACCGGTATTTTGTCTCGTTGGAGTGATATTTGAAAATTTTTCCTGGCTCTTTCGGTTTGTGCTGCGAAGTAACAGTCTTCTGAAACTGTGACAGTGCCCAAAGAGTCTTCTACTACACGCACGTTTCCTTT